CGTATTAATATTGTACTTGACGTAAAAAAAAGTAAAAAAAAAAGGCAATTAAAAAAATAATGTTAAGAGGGGCTATCGGATTGCGAGAAAACATAATTAACGGAACTTCCTTGACCAAAAATTCATTGCCAAGGACAGTCTATTTGTCAAACACATATATAGATAAAGATAAGGTCAATATAGAGAGTTGAAATTTGTTTAAAATAGTTTCGTATTTCTCAATAGTAAAGAAGCTACGAACAAATATGCTTTTGACACGACAAGGTTATCAAAGGATTAATAATATGTTTTATAACACAAAGTTTGTTCCTCAAAGTGGTACGTCATAAGATATTTTCTTGAAAAATTTTGGATAACGAGTGTACCTTGAGCCTTAGCTATTGCATGTAATGAATAAATTGAACATCAAATACGAAAACATTTCTTTGAAAGACATTTAAAAAAAATTTTCATTATAGATACATCAGAAAGGCGATCTATCGGAGGTAAATTTTTTTTCAACCTACACTGAGTTTTTTACTTTTTTACTAACCCTTTTTTAGGCTCGTGAAAAAATTTCACCTTTGGGACAAAAATTTCGTTACTCTTTTATCCTATAATATCTCGTGCACTCGTGTCAAAGAAAACCCGACTATTTTCGCCGTGGAGGGCTCAAAGATGAAATTTAATTACTGCCAAAGAGCGCGTGTTTTCGTAATATTAATTACGCGCTCAAGTTACTTTTTTTCACTGAAAATCCCTTTTTCAAATTACTTTGCACGCAGTACAAGGCTCTTTTTCACGATTAGCATACACACTGTAATCAGTTTCCGCAAAAAAGAATTTTTTTTCGGTCCACGAGCGATTCACTTCCTGCTTCGAACATTGAAAAAAAAAAAAAAAACTCCACGAAACCTCATTTCTTCAAAACTTTGTAGGACCGTATATATATGTATACCGGATCCCAAAAACCCAGCCATCGTTTCCACCATCCGTACACTCGACAAAGGAAAAAAAAAAAAAAAAGAAAAAAAAGCACAGTCTCCCAGCTTGCATCCCCCGTCTCATCAGAGAGAGCCGACCTGTTAATTGCGCGGAACCGTTTACGCCCGGCCCTCCACTTCTCGTCCATTTCGGTAATACACGGCGCACGGCTCGCTCCTGAATTCCCGCTTCGAGTGGACGACAAGCTGCTTTCGCCGAAAGTATACACAGGAGCTACGCCCGCTGCAGTTGGACCACCCCTACTGCTAATTATTCCCTTCGAAGTTCGGACGATGATAGGAGCGTGCGCTTGTACGGGAAATTAAGGCTTGCGACGCACGAAGCGAAATGTGAAAAAAATAAACCACACTAAACGCGGCTCTCGTTTCCCGCGGGGGAGGAGCGGAGGAGGTATAAATTCAAGCGACGCTGCAATTCTTCAGTCAGCTCGAACAAGTGCAAGCGTAAAATCAGCACCAACTTAATACCCATCGCGTGCGTATATATGTATAAATATACACCTATACACATGATGTGTACGTATACGCAAGTGCGAGAGTTATTTATGAATGACTCGGCTGGCTAAAGCGTGCTCTTTTCAAGTGTACCCCGTGTGCACGAAAGGCGCGAGTGTGCGCGCGCTTGTGATGCCTATATAAATGTGCACGTTAAAGCGGTGCATCAAGAGACGTCGAAGCTTTTGAATGGACTAATTGCGCAACGCGTGCTTGCACTGGATGATTGCGTGCGTGCTTGGGAAATATCGTGGTGTGACAGCCTATACGTGGGTGCAGTTTAAAGAGCCGTGCGATCGCTTTTGCACGCGAGGTTGCAGATTTTTCAAGTGACTTACAAGGTTGTTGTTTTTTTTTAATGGTTTTTTTACGCGTCGGTGGTTTTTTTTTTTTTTTTTTTTTTTTTTTCGTTATCCCAATAATCTGGAAAGAAATTCGTTTCATCGATATCGTTGTTTTCGAAAAAAAATCATTTATAATCAAAGACATGCTATGAAGATCAAAAACTTGTGTAGATGTATACGTATTAAAAAAAAAAAAAAAAAAAAAACTTGCTGTTTAACTTGGTACTGCTGTGAGTTTTAATTATTCAAAGCAAATGAGCTAAACTCGAGGCTAAACTTAGAAATGAGGGAAACCTGTACTTAAAAACGTCTAAAGAAAATGATCCATCCACTACTTTTTATTTAATTCAATGTTTCCTTCTACTCTTAACTAATAGAAATGGCATTTTTTTTATTTATCAGTTTTTTTTTCTTTCTTTCAAATGTGATCCTAAGAGCCTCCTTTTAATAGTCTTGATTAATAATTTCTCCAAAATATTATTTTATAAGAAAAAAGAACTATAGAATTTAACTACTAGTATATGTCCAATTAATTAAGAGGGGGCTTCCATTAAGCCAACACATTCCATCAAAGTTTTGTCATAGTCCAACATGTCCTCATCGTAAAACTAACTCGACTACGTAATTATGCATTTTACCATTATACGCTAATCTCGATAATGGCAATGTATACATATCGTTGAAACTCTGATTTGAATGTATCAAAGTTTTGGACGAGGCTTCGCTGAAATATTCAACGTTTGATTTGTAGATACGTTTCATACAATAGCCCTTCACGAATATTTTCATACGAATCGTAATCAACGGTGGGTCTGATTTTTTTCCAACAACGAAGCTTGTACTCCTACTGTTTATATTACCCAGCAAACATTCTTTTATCGCAACAAACTTCATTTTTACGACATGCAATAAAGTCCAACGCGAAAACCCTATATAATCCATGCACATGCAAAAACAAACAGTATTAATCCCTCCGAGTAACGTTTCGTGCATTCAAAATGAAAAAGTGTTATCGAATGCATTGGAAAATTTTATGAAACATCGTCCGTGATTGCAGTATTTTATTTCGCACTCGAGAAAATTTTTGCCCCAAACTTATTTGAATACCCAACAAAAATGAAGTAATCCGTAAAAGCCGAATGAAATATCCTTTTTCACACCCTCTTTTTTTAATTGTAGTGATGTTCAAAGGAAACAGCTTACTTTTATTATCTACGAATAGCAATGCAATCAACTGGAAAAAAAACGAAACATCTGTACTTTATTGGACGAGACATTTAATTATTTGATACAATCGATCCTAATACCTTTTTCTTCTTGATATCTTTTTCGCTTGTCAAGCTCAGGACTCAAACAAACAAACAAAAACAACTAGTATAACATGAAAAGCTCCACTCTTCCACTAGCACAAACATCGGCGTATCACGCATCACAAAACCAATCAATGGCACCATAGTTTTCTTTTCATTATAGACACAAAGAAGCAAAAAAAAAAAAAAAGTACGCTGCCAAGATCGTCCGTCTCGATAATTGTTTTTCCATATGCCCTTCGTAAATTCCCATCGAAGAATACATAATTTTTCCATCAACTCCGCACACAACGACCAATTACTCGCCTCCCGGAAAATCCGCTCGAATAATCCCGGCGATCCACTCTTGATCCTCAAATCGTGCGATCCGCTTTTTCTTCCTTCTCCGTGATCCCTGGGATATAAAAAAAAAAAAAAAGATATCAAGTCGGAAGTTAAAAAAGGGAAGTATCCATGGGGCATCAACCGGTCCGCGATAATGATGGCGCAGGCTGGCTGTATTTAAAAACCAGGAGAAAAAAAAAAGAAGGATCCCTCATTCACATGGTCCCCGTCGCGCAACAATAACCGACATCGATAAATCGACGACAGCCCAAGTGACACGCGGCAAGGATGAAAAAGCACCGTGGAAAGAAAGAAAAAAAAAAGCTCCCTGCGTACGACAAGTGAGTCCTTCCCCTCGCGATCGATTACACAAAACTCCGAAGCTTTGGCAGCAGCGCAACCTCCGTTTCCGTTAATGCGCCTCTAATGAGCGCCACCAACTTTCTCTTCTGTATACATGGTTCTTTTTTATTTTATTTTATTTTATTTTTTTTTTTTTCTTTCACTGCCAGATACAGTTGGTTCTGTTCTTTATTTGCTCGTGGCTGCTTTTTCCTCTTTGCACTCCCCAGCTTGTAATTCATATCACGGGACCGTCGAGGGGATGGACGGACACGCGCCCGGGAAGGAAGAAATATTTGATCGGCACGAGTGGCTTATTCGAGTGCGGCTATACACGTGAGGTGTTGTGTTTCTGATTGTCCGATGTTATTGACAGACGCGTAGATCTGGCGGGGGGTATTTTTCGCGAATAAAAAGCACACGGTTGAGTGCTCACCTCTGGGTTGCATGGAGGGTCGCTGTGTGGCGAGTGATAGGGAGTTTGTGTTTACTGAGCTAATTGATGAATCGAGTGTTACGGGTATGGTGGATTTTTTGGGATGAGAAATTTTATTGGAAAACTATAGGTGGGGAGTTTGGGAAGATTTTTGCGGCTTAGGTGTTCGATTGGCTGTTGCATGACAATGGATTGAAGCAGCTTGTGGTGCACAAATACCGTGACTCTTTATAAAAAAAAAAAATAAAAAAAATTACATCTGGTACGTGTTCATTAAAAAAGACTTTAGGTTCACAGTGGTGATCACCCCCAAGTTGAGTCATCAGAACCCTACAACGTTTGCATTTAAAATTATTTCTGGTAAATGCTTCCGTGAAAAGTTTTTCAAGAGTTCCGAGTTTATTGTAATACCCATCATTTGACTAGATAATCGTACTGGTTAAGTGCATTCGAAAAAGATATTTAAAAAAAATGTCACGTTAGACGTTGAAAAGTTGGATATAAAAAAGACGTTTAAATTCATATCCTCTAAAAAGTTGGATCGATTTATATTTATGAACTGAAAGGAGGAAAAAAAAGGAGTAAAAAAAATTGACGTGACTCTGAAATCCCTCCACCAACTCATTTGAAAGTTTACCCCAACGACACACCCGACGCCCTATACCAGATATGCATACATATATACACACACACACACACACATATATCGATATATCCTGTGGACATTTGAAATTCATATTTTGCGGACGGGGATTTTGCGTTTCAGATCATATGAGCACGATCTGCAAGAATCACTTTTTACGCGATATCTACCGGAAGATCGAGGGCGCGGTGCTCATCTCGCAAAACGAGCGGAACCTCGACTGCGCCATCACCTTCCAGACGAACAGCATACTCCAGCGGTTCATGCTCAAGTTCGATAAGCTACAGCTGGATTGCAACGATCATCTCTACATTTACGACGGTGCTCACTCGGTTGGCAGCTTCAAAGTGAGTTTTTGTACAATTTTTTACGTATACCTTGCTTATATCTCATTCAGAAAAATTCCTTGTTTGAAACTGTCTGATTATTTATTTTTTTTGTTACGTTTATGCAGTTTGAATGGGCTCTGAGACTTTTACGAATATTTTACTAGCAACAGCTTAACCAAGATGTAAATTGTGCAGCAACAAAATAATCTCTAAAGTTGAGAAGCGCACCCACCATTCTAATATATGATGAAGTATACATCCAATACAAAATATGTCTGTATACAACTTCATGAAAATTGAGACTAGAAATAGGAATTATTCACACTTTAAAATGTTTCACTTGATTGAGCTTATCATCGTACCTTAAAGGGTGAAGAATCGTACAATTTTCTCATCCAAGGAATTGCTGAATTACTTTTATATTTGTATAAACGTGTTTTCATGCAAACAATCGTAACATTAAAGAAATAATTTAATAGCTTTAAAACAACTAAAGTCCCTGAAACTATGAAAATTAGTTGTGAAAAGTTATAAAAATTATGCATGTTACTAACTTTACACATTTCTAAAAACGGAATCCAAATTTAGTTATCATACTAATTATGCTAAAATAGAGATACAGCCGAAGTAATTTGCTGTTAAATATGAAAACGTTCATCGCTCGTACAACCACTGTTTTCTTTAATGTTGTATTAATTTCTTGCAGTCTGTCTGTTCCATATTTTTTCACATTTTTTTTTATTTTTTCTATTATACCAGATTACTCTAAAGATTTGTAGCATTTAATTTTACTTTTATTTTGAAATATAATTGTTACAATTGTTTTGAAACTTTGACCCTCCTTTTAAACCACGTGAGCAGATTTATATATATGTAATTCGATCTCTTTATTTTTTGTTTCCTCTCATTTTTTTTCTCTCAGCTCGAAAGATTTTGTCCTCTCAATCAAATGCTTCTTTGAGACATAAATTAAGCAAAAATAGTTTGTATGCATCAGATGGACTGGTTCAGCAATATCAGCGTATAATATGCAGTAATTTAACGAAAAGGGAATTAAAAATATTTTACTCCGGCTTTTAAAGTTTAGAGTAAGTTAAAAAATGTGCCCAAACACTTGGATTAACACAGTATAACTAAAAAAAAAATGAAGTCCAAGCCCCCCTCCCCCAAAAAAAAAATTAACTAAACTCATGAAAATTTCATGACAACGCCACCTCCACTCGATCAATCCAACACTCATCCTCGCAAACGTCAATCTTCGTCAGCACTTGAGACTTTAAGCGTCACGTTCACGAACGCACCGCGTCAGGCGCACATGGTCATTGGCATGCAATCGTTACCCGCTTCATTAATCAGCGTAACTCCGGCAACCGTAGTCCCTTGAGATATTGAAATACCGGACGATTTTTCCACCCGACAATTACGCGCATACAGTGACCGAAACTTTGGCTCGAAAAGCTGAATTTTAATGCCCCGTGCATTAAAAATTCCAAAAGTTGGGCCATTAATCAAGTAGCGTTTCTTTTTGACTTTTTTCTCCCTCTCTAGTCTTCGATCCAATACCATCAGCTTGGACCCTGGGCTCTATCTGCATGTTTCCTTTGAAGGCCCAACTTTTCCGCGGGAAAAATCCCACGGAATACCAATACTCACGGCGAAGGACTCGACTTTTCGGACAGTGCCGTTTTTTACTTGTGCTCCATCGCGAAGGAAGCTAATATTCGCACTGAATGAGCAAAGCCCGATGGATCTCTTTTGCGCTTACAATGAAGCTTCATGAATTATTGATACGATTGTCCGGCATCGGAAAAGCGTAATAAGTTATTTTCGCGGTCTGAAAGGTATTCCCTATGAAAATATTGAATTATCGACCGCCAGCATAATAAATATATTCTCGCGTGCCCGCATCCGCTGCTGATTATCGGATTTTGCGTCTGAAAGGAATATTTTACGTTGGAAAGTGTACGTGATTCAACTCCAATGGTAATTAATGCTCGGTATCTTCGGGACGTAAGAATAAATTATTTTATCGAATGGAAAGCCTTTGGATTTAGTTTTTCAACTTATTCATTTGCGTGCAGAACGAGTAGATTCTTCTGGGTTTTTGAAAAAATTATCCACCATCTGCTAACCATTTGGGGGTAAATGAGGTTGCTCGTCCCTGACTTCGAGGTTAAAGACGTGACTTTAACTAAGGGTAATTTTCAACTAATTGGTACTCTAATTAAGGTGGATAAAGTTATTTGAAAAAAGTTATGATTGAGCAGGTACTCTTGGTTAAATCCAATTTTGCGAAGTTTATAGTTAAAATTGACACATTTCTTTATCAATTCAAAAAAACTATGAAAATCCCCAATTGTGCTGCATATCCCAAATTAAGGTAAAAGATAAAGTGGATAAAAGACTATCAAAAATTTTTATGAAACACTTGTCAAAAAAGTTTTAACTTTTTAAACTATATGGGGATCAATTTTTTCGAATGAATTTAGCGAAGAAGCATACCGTGAAAAATCAGGTTGATAGTAGACGATTCATAAGTTTTCTGGTTAGTTTTTACCTTTTTTAAACTTTCACATGGCTGAGTTCGAGGTTGAGTGTCTCAACTTCATCAACAATCTCTTAAATGCCCATTGCATTTTATTGCTTTCAGATTTAGCGAGTAGCCATATTCAATCGCAGTTGATACAAAAAATTTGACTTGGAAAAATACTCTATTCTTAATCAGTAAATTTTTTGTTTCACATCATGGTAAATTACATAACGATTAACTTCCCCATATTTGCATCACAAACATCGTCAAATTTAATTCACCCAAACTATTTTTTTCACCAACACAATAGTAAAAATTACCAAGTTGAATACATTAGGTAGCGGAACCGGAGCATTATAAGGTAAGCGAAACAACAACAACCAAAAACAATTTGTACACGCGCAAGTTCAAAGTCCCAACGAACATCCTGCTCGCCGCTAAAGAAGAAAAGTAGGCGGAGTCGTTAATACGGGAACAAAAGAAGCTCGTTACGTACCTGATGCGCACAAATATCTACCGGTTCGAGCAGCACGCGAGCAAACAAAAGGGGTGGGGGCTGGTATGGCATACATGTCGTATGTATACAACAGCCCATGTACGGAAGGTCGAGAACGAGAGAGCAAAGAGTCCCCGAGTTTTGCATAATGCCCTTACCTCCTCCTCCTCCTCCTCCTCCTCCTGGGTTCTCGATTTCACTGGTGTGGGTTAACTTTAATCTTTTTTATGGTCCACGTAATGGGCCGTTAAGCGCGCCTTTATTGCCGCCACGCTCCTTTTCTCCCTTTCTTTCTCTTACACGAGAAGATGGACCATTTCGAGAGCTGTGCCGGCTGACGCCATCCACCCCGCCTTTCCTATTACACAACCTCTGGCTGCTGCGTGCGATTTTCGTCCTACAATACTGCCTTCACCACCGGCTTTCTTTATTCCGCTTCTTATTTTAGCTTGGCTCTCTCTATCTGCTACTCGATATCGCGGGGGTGGGATTTGCAATTACACGCTGTCGCTTCGATGTTGAAGTTTGACTTCAAGCCCAGTGCTTATGGTGTGCGTTGTTGGGGATGCATTGCATTACGGTACTCGAGTCAGATAATCAATGGATTGATTGAGTAGCATCGAGTTTTTATCCTTCTAAATGGTGTTTTCCTAAGTCTGAAAAAATTATAATTTTTTTGAAGTTACACTTCATGTACTGAGACAGTGTTTTTAGATTTAGAACGGAAAATCATACTAATGATCGAAAAGGACTGTAATTGTTCAGTGAGTCATCTTTTTTTTTGTACTATTACTACTACAGATCAACTTGTGTATTCATATACATTATGTGAATCCTAATGCTGGTTCCCCAATTTACAAGAAAAAAAAGAGAATTCACACAAGAATGATAGGACATTAATATATTTCTTGCATAAAAGTTTGTTCTCTTAATGTTATTTTTCTATTTGCAGAATGTATATTGTCAAGGTTTTGTTATTTGTTAATTTTTAATGATTTTTTAAAAGTGTTCGCACTTTTTAAAAACAAATTTCAACCACAATCATAATAACAGTAATGTTCAAAAGTAGTGAAAACCAATACAATCTCATTTACGGCATGGTAATGATTGTTCTAATCAGAGAAAAAAGTACAATTACATTTTAAATAACGTCGTCAATATCGTCATTTTTGGTTACTGTTAATCATTTTGCAATTCTGTTTCTTGATTTAAAAAAAATTACTACATTATTGAGTATCAATTTCTTACTGTAATGGGCGAACAATTACTTTTTAAATTTACCTTTCAATCATTTTACTTTAAGGTTATCAGGATCATATAACAAACCAAAAATTGTGGTAAAAATATTTTTAATAGATGTGAAAAATGATTTTTTTTTGTACTTAAAATTGTTTTCTTCAATATTTCAGTATATTTTTTTTTCTTTTCTATCAAAATAATCTATTTATTCTGTATTTGGTAATAACGGTGAGAAGTAATTTTTCTTTAAACATATACAATAATTTTTTTCGAACGAATACTTGTTTGAATAAACAAATGTATAATTAACACATGAATGAATGCTCAAAGAATCAACCCAACACGTAATTGGTACAAAAATATTTTAAACGTTCGTTGGTCTTTAAAATTTATTATTCAATATAATTTTATTACATCCTCTTATCGTGATAAGAGTTCGTCATTCCATCAGCAATGTATGGGCTTAACGCGTTACCAATTAGTAGTTCTTAAGTGCTCGTATTGCACATGATCTGTAAATTCATCCTTTAGAATAAAAGCTTTCCCACACTGGAAGCAGGGAAAAACGTGCTTCATTTGAACATGTTTCCTAAGATCGCCCCAGTTGTTGAAAATCGAGAAACAATTAGCGGAGCAGTTGTACCTGTGCTCCAAGTTCATATGCTTCTCGAGATCTTCGTTTAGCTGAAAATTTTTTCCACAATAGAGACAGCGGGGTGTATATTTAAAAGTTGTGTACCTTGTAAGCTCACA